TATTAAGATAAATATCATATCAAGAATTACGATCATCGCTTCTCAATCTAGAATTTAAGCCTCCCACAATCATTTAAGGGGGGTAACTCCCCCCCAATGGGTAAGGGTCTAAAATCATTTGCACATAGCTCCACATTGATGGATATCATTTCCTAAGAGATTCGAAATGATTACGACAAAATACAATCATTTAGCCCCTTCCATCCCCCCATAATCATTCTTAAGGGAACCCTAATTTACGATATCTATAATTCCTGAAAATCTTTCTATATTCCATTAATAGTATCGATATCAGATGAGTCACCTTATTTCTATGAATATTTCCCAAATCGTAATCCTTTTTAATTCTACCGAGAAATTCTACCCTAAATCTTAAAAGACGGTTTTAAAAAATCTGTTTACACCCTCCAACCCATCAAAAAACGATGCCCCAAAACCGTCAAAAACCAATCCCCTTTAACCGTACAAAAACGGACCCCCAAACCGCTCCAAACCGACCAAGAACCAGACCCCCCCAGAACACACGAGATTGCCGGCCCGCACCTTCAACAAAATTGCCTTCCAATTAAAATTGGCGCCCAAAGCCCAAAATTGGCTCCCAAACTTAAAATTGGCCCCCAAAGCCCAAAATTTGCTCCGCAAACCAAAATTGGCTTCCGGCAAAGTCCAAAATTGGCTCCCAAAGACCCTCAAATTGGCATAAAGAGAGGTTACAAAAAAGACATTTTTCGTATCTATATCCTTCTCATTATTCCGATGATTTTTTGATTTCTAATTCTTCGGATATCCATCCATTCGAATGAATTATTCTATTGGCTTGAAGAAGAACCAATCAATTCTCAAGTTGCAAAAATTCTGAGGGAATTCCTTTCCAATGATCGTTGGGACGAAGCTCATAGTTTTTTTGATTGGATAGAATGATCGTGGAATGGTCCCGCCCCATTCTTCCATGTCGGATTTTGTCCACATTTCTTGCCTGAAGGTGGCCGGAAACCCGTGCACACTAATCCAGGCAGAATTGGATACCTGGTCTGATCGCAGCAGCAAAGCATGAAACATGATGAAGCCTCAGGAAAAACCACCAGCGCAGACTTGTTCCACTGGGAATCTGCAAAGTAAGGCAAGAGAGGGCGAAGGTTTGAAACCAGCTTGGGCGGGTTGGGCGTCCGGTATCTGAAGCAGTTGGCCTTGCGACCCTTGTGGTCCGCAGCTCCTCCATGCATTTGCTGGCAAAAACGAAAATGGTCAACTAACCACTAGCGCATGCCTGGCGCATCATTCTACAAACCTTTCTTGTCCGATGCATCTTCGCAGATGCTTTGGAGCTTTCGTACTTTCAGGGATTATGAAGGGATGCTAGGGCACATTAACGCCAAAGAAGGCTGCGGCCCTGCGGCTATTGCAACCGGTGACGCAACACAGAGGCCGAATACATTTTTCGCCTATACCAACCCAAGCTTCTGAGCCTACATGTTTCGCGTCGCTTTGTCTTTTACCCCACCGCCGGCAACACTTTCGAACACTTGTGCACTGAGGTTGCCCTCCAGGATCGCCAGCGCGATGGAGATGCGCTGCAGCGACAGGCTTCGGGAAACTACGCCACTTCAAAGCATCGGGTTGCAAACGGCCCCACCTTGTCCTCAATGACAGAAACAGATGTGTCAAATCCTAAGAGAACAGTTGCTGTAGTCAGGCCATTCTTGGATGTTGGGCCTTCACTGATGCATCGTAATGCCGCCTCTAAGAACGAGGCTAAACGGCAAGTCCATGACAATGCACTCAGCATACATTAGCATGAAGATGCCGCAGTCCGACCAATTTTCCTGTTGCCTTGGCCAGTCCATCACTGCCCGTTCTGCATTTCATTCCGACAAATCGCAGACATGCTGAGCCCTCCGCGGCAAGCTGCTATCCACGTGCAGCTTCCAGTCACCTGTTAAGGGCGGTTGGACGAGGCAAGCAAACGTCTTCATCAAATCGATGGGGCAGCGCAGAGTACTGATCGAGCATTTCCAGGACCACAGCTGCTATCAGGATCTGCCAGCGCACATGAAGCCGGTCCTTGATAATCTGCAACCTCTGCCGACATGAACTCCGTTAGTCTGGCCAGCTGGTGCGAATGCAGGCTGCTTGACGTGCTGCTGGATCGACGGGGTACATAGAACAAACTCTGCCCCTGCCTTTGCTGCAACAGATCCGGAACAGGTAAGCTCAAGGAGTCGAAGTAAAAGAAGATGTGCCTGACAAGCTTGTTCGATATGTCAGCTCAAGGAGCATTCGCTCTGACTTCACAAGAGCGACCAACACAAACAAGTGCTGGTGACCTGGCGAAAAAAGTACTTAAAAGCTGAACCAGAAAAACACACCGTCACGAAGGTTCGGATGGTTTCCAAGTGCCATCTTAAAGTTCTTGCCAAAAAAAGTTCTCGGTCCAAGGTTCGAAACGCATGCACCACATCCAACGCATCTTTTGATTGGCGGCGGGACTCTGTAGCTTCTGCTGTCGCGAATGCTTCAGCACGGGTAGGACCTTGACCTAACTCAGCTGCTACTAGGCCGGTAGCCGGCAGACTGGTTCAAGAAGATACAGGTCAGGCAGTCATGCCGTCACAGCTGTTCAGAAGCTGGGTGAGGGTCCTTTCGCCAGCCAGTCGCTGTGCTTACCAGTGTGGTAATTAAAGATAAAGAGGGTTATACGAAAGGAAACGGAATAAAATTGTGATCCAGGAATCCTTTCCATCGCTCCGCAGAAACCATTATATATAAACGTTGCTCATGCCTTGCAAAATAACCGTGGGTTTGGCACTTGCAAATTCTATTAGCGATTCATTCCGTAAGCTTGCTTCGAAGTGGACGGCATTTGTAAAAAGTAAAAAGGTGAGAGAACAAAGCTAGAAAGGAAGCAACAAGAAAGAAACGAAGATCGAAGCGTGCCTGAAGAATGAACGGAGCGACAAAGAGATTTCCATTTCATTGTTCAAAGGCCTTCATGTCGAAGGTCTCTTCAACTGACAGTAATTAGATCAAAAGTGCACGAGCAAAGGGCTCCGTTCTCAAGATATTCATATAAAAGAGACCTTTACAAATACAATGATTATACTGCTTACCACCGGGCAATATTGTATTCTTTTCTTGCGCCGGCACAAGGGTCCTCAATCATACTAAATGTGCGAATGCAACGATCCAGCGAACGGAGTGAGCGCATGAAATGAACGCCCCAAAGCCCCAACAACTAAACATGGCCCGTGAACCTTTATAAACTGTAGAAAAATGGAGATTTCAGAATCTACGACTTTTGTATCGGCATTTTCTTGAAATCTTATGGTTATTTGCCTTTTTGATCTTTCATGGAGGGCACATAATATAATATTTGTAGGGCCCCCTCAAAATCCCAAAATTGGTGAGTCTTCGTGCACTAACTTTCATTCCAGCGACGCTATCAGTACTGACTGGCTATTCAGCATTCATGGCGACTTCCCCCTTTTCTCCTCCCGCATCGCCTCATGATCCACAACTCGCCCTGCGAGATATGCTTTGGGTTTATACCGCTAGGCATATACACCTGCACCGACTCCACGGTGTCAGCAGGTGCAACCTGCCCAGGTTGGGACACACCCACCCAACCCAGCCCCTCGGTCACTCCGAGGGCTGACAAGGGCAGGAAAAACTACCTAGCCGCGTCGCAGACTCTGCGCCATCCTTGGATGACTGGGGGACCCCACCGGAGGCCGAGTCACCAACAAGGGAAGGGAGGGTGGGTCAAATGTTAGCTGCTGCCGATTTGGCTCACAGCTTGCTTGACCCAAACACAGCAGCGATCCCTTAGAATAATACGCATGCACCCAAGCCTGCCAAACTCAACATGCACATAAAACAGACTTCTAAGGGCGCGCAGTTCGCGGCGCTCAGTAGATTTCATGCATCTTGTTATCGTTACATTTTTTGCCCGCGTCACAATAATAAAAAAGTGTTCCGATTGGTCGTGCAGCTTTTAAGTTGAGTTGACTCCTGTTGCAGCACCTCTAGATACAAACGCTCTCGCCATAACACATGCAAAGATAAGCCCTGGGGCATTCTGTCATGGTATGTCATCATCACGAGAGCGCTTGGAGTGCTCGTGATGTGGAGCTTGTAGTCCAGAATTTGCGCTTGGCATGTAACTCAAAGTAAGGGCATGTCGCGGTGCCCCGCTTCTTTCTTTTACGCACGTGTGTCGCAGACCCACCTTGGAGGCCTCCTTAGAGGCTTGTCCCAAAGAGAACGGACTTGTTACAAACCCCATGTCGCAAAAAAAGGCGCCCGCGGCCTGTTGCATGCTGACCTGCGGGCCGCAGCATGCGGCAGCCACAGGTTGTGGTGAAAGCTGGCGGCAAAGCCTCTAATTCGCCTCGGCTTCCTGCCGAGAAGCGTCTGGAACAAGCAGACCCGGATCGGGCTTCCCCCTAACCCACCCTTCCCCCCATGAAAAATTTGGTGACGCCACCCCCCCCCCCTGTGGGAGCCCCCCGGCGGCTCTTACAGGGGGAGCGCCTCAAAACGCACAAAAAGCCCCCTCCGTCCCACCCAACCCCCCCCCGCCCCCCAACCACCCCCCCCCCCTTAACCCCACAACCTTTCCTGTCCTGGGGCCGGCCCGGCTGCCGAGGCGGCGCGCGCAAGCGTTTACAATTTCAAAGGGAAACATGGACAAACGGCCATGCCATGTGCAGATTTCCTGTGCCCCGTCAATCGAATATCACGCTCCCCGCCCCTTGTCCCACCTCTCCCGCGCCCTCCACGTCAACTCGGTCTGTGATTATCGCGCTCCCTCGCCCTTGTACCTGTCAACTCCCCCCCGTGCACGGCCCTCACCGTTTTGCGCCCCCCTGCCCCGTCCACATCCTCCCCGTCCCCCTCCCCTCGACATCTAGGGACAGCACACCGGAGATCCCGCACAAGGCTGAGCGGTGGCTTGGCCTAAGCCTAGCTCGCAATTCGGTGGATTCTGTGCATGACTTTGATGGCCTTGGGATATGAACCATCGCCAGCCTCGCTGCGTACTGCGCAATGCCACGCCATGCGTCTTTGTTGCCACACGCTGACCATCATGCAAAAGAAAAAGTCTGAGCATTTTGCGACCAGTGGCAACCTTCAATCCGCAGAATGCTTGGTCAATGCAAAACTGCACATGTGTGACGTTGCCTTCCAGGTGAAGCGGCACGAGAATGGCCCGCAGCTCCGGAACGTTGATGGCAGCGCGCCTGGACAGCAAAGTCAAGCTCGAGGCTATGGCATGGCTATAGCTCGAGCATTTCACCACGTATGATCACTTTGCACAAGCCCCGAAGCGCTGCAACTTCTATGGCTAAAAATCAAGCGTGTGAGCAGCTTCAGCATGGTGTGACGGACGCTTCATACCACGCACCCCAACAATCCGTGCATTATGCCTTTCAAATTTCACTCCTCTCCAGTCGCCCGAGGAAATGATTAGAAACACTCAGAAACCTCTTAGCCAGGAAGCCTTGCAGTGCAAGCTGCATTTTCTCGCATCAAGGACTCTCGTCTCAAACGGACATCTGCATTACTCGAACATCCGCTGAGCTTATGTACAATGGCGAGCCGTTTCCAACTTCTCAGACATACTTTGTTGGACAGGGAACATTCGTTTATCTGCATTACCCGAACATGGGTGTGCTTATGTGCAACGGGTAGCCGTTTCCAACTTCTCAGACATATTTCTTGGGCACATGTGGGGAACATTCTGCAGGCAAACGTTCTCATAGTGATCGCAATGCCCGAAGAACTTGCACAGCAGATCGAAGTCCCGTGCATAGACCTGGCGCATTATTCATGTGCATTCGTGTTGCTGCGCATGCACGTGGTGTACTTTTGGGTTCCACAGCTCAGGCACTCTGCTTGAAAGTCCATGTCGCTGTTTCACCGCCACCTGCCTGTCTCACAAGCTCTCTCGTTTCGCAGCTGAGATCGCCTGCCCACACCTGCTCAGAGATGACATTGCTAAGTCTGCAGAAGACAAGGGAGACACCATGGCATAGCATGATTCTGATAGTGCCACGAACGCCTCGTTGCAGCCTTCCACGTGCAGAATATCCTCCTCAATTTCGAAAGCTCTTAACCTTGACCTGTTATTGTAGGACCTAAACACAGTGTATGTTTTGAGTGGAGCTTGCGACAACAGGCGAACAATGAACGGCTGTTGTCAACAAATGCAACTTGCTGAGCTGCAAAACAAAGCACTGGAAGTTTGACTTCGTGTAAATCAGAAACCGAACCAGACCGAATCAGTATGAATCAATGACTATGACAGAAAACAGGACACATATGAGAATTGCTAGCCTCGCGGCACCCTCACCGGATGTTGTGGGACACTGTGGGTCTTGTTCCCCAAACAACACGAGCCGAGCGGCAGTGGCAACATGTATGTTTGTGTATCCGTGTTCGGCCAGTAGATCGTTTGCAGAATCAGGAAACCAGCGATTGTCGACTGCCAGAGTGATACCAAATGGTGCATCGAAGTACTCTGCTTGAGGAAGGAAAGTGCATCCTTCGGCATAGATGTCCCCTGCCATGTATCGAAGCATCATCTTTCTCACAGCAGCGTCCACATCGCAAGTTCTTTGTTCCTCCGGGTAATTGCCTCCGTATCCGGGATAATTTCCTCGAAAGAAAGCCACCAAACGCTCATAGGGGTCTCGCAGCATACCAAAAATCTTCTTCTCTGCAAAGTACCACTTGGCAATCTCTTCTGGCCAGTGCTTCCTTTTGCTAGCAACTACGCACATTGAAGGGTGATGCTACTGGCATGAGGTCGTGCACACTTCACGCATAGAAAAGTCATAGAAAAAGGTGCTTCGAACCTGCAGTCAAGATGCCCGGGGGTGAAGTACAACGGACAACCTCCACTGTCGTGTATGCTATGCCAGGTTCTATAGCCAATGTGGGAAGTACCCAGCAACAAGGGAAAATCCGCCGTAGGTGTATGGGTGGCGCAAAGCAGGCACCCCACCTCTGATTCCCTCCCCAATGACCACTTGCGCGCCCCTCTTTGGCCACTTTCTTGGCAGAAATGGGTACCCTCCCTGGGCAACACGTGTGCGGAAGCCGACGGTGCATCAGGACCAGGGGGCAGTTTGGGCCTGGGTTACAGGGCCCCACCCCCAGCCGGCCTGGGACTCCTCCCACCTCTAATCCCTCTCATTTGCCACTTTGGCTGACATGGGTACCCGCCCTCGCCAACAGGTTCCGACGTCTTTCACTCTTGCTCGTTTGTGGGGACTGTGCCCTTCCGACTACCCCCTCACCCGATTTGGCATGTCCTGGGCTTTCTCCACATGCCGAGGGAGCTGCGCTGGCCCAGGCCGAGGCGGGTCGCGTAGCGCTAAAATTAATGACATGCTGGATGTAAAGTTCCACCCCCAAAAAGAGGGATCAAGCGCGTCTAAGAACCGAACTGAATCGCCTAGCTCCTTTGGCAACAGGATATGTGGATGCTCTGGCCACTCGCACGCAGTGGTACTACATGAGGAAAACAGCAAGAGCCCGAAGAAACCAGCAGACACCGCAACAAAAAAGTGGTCAAGACGCCTCAGCATCAAAACAACATGTTCTCAACCCGGAAAGCGCCTCAAACTGCACGGGCGGGTACGCCCCGTGCTCCATCTACATGCCATGCGTGTGCACACATAATTGATGCATGCGAGCACGGCTCGACAGTGACCGCATGTCAAACTTTTCCACACCACGAACAGATTGCATCCGCGCGAATTTGGAACACAGCTCACCTTCTTCGGGGTTTCATGTACCATTTGCCGACAGCAGTTGCAAACATTGCGGGCCTGTCACATTGGATTTGAGATGCAGATATGGGTTGAGATGTCCCCAGATCTCACCTTCTGGCTGCATGGTGGCCTCAATGATGCAGCTGCTAGATGAGATTGCTGAACTTGCCATGCTCATCCTTTCGAGCCTTGAGCATTTCGAACTGCATGTCCTCTGGTAGGATCCTTCGTTTATGTGAACGTTGATGGCTAGAAGCCAGGGTGGACAAGAGTCACAAGAGGCTAGGGCATCTAAGCAACTCGCGCGCCAAGCCATGCAAAATCAAAGTCTTCTTCAAAATAAAAAAATCCTGCTTTGCACTCCAGGGGTTCGCAGTATCAACAATGCCCTGCGCAACAATGTAGCGGTACATGTCGCCGCTGCCCGCAAAGGCCACCTGAGCTGACATTGACGGTTGGACGTGAAGCCGTGAAAGACAAGGACAGCCGCTGGTACTTGGAGTCTCCAAGATCGCACTTTAGTCTCCGCGCCTCTTCGACCGTGTGGCCAAAATTGTATGGTATGTGTGCAAGCACCAGATCGCGCCTTAGACCGTCGCGAAGCATGAGCCGATGAGAAGTTCTATTCTCCGAAGCGGCTGCTCCATCCTTTCAAGGCCGGCAATATGCTGTATACATCTGTATACCCTCCAGCTAAGCCGCTCCATCACTCGCCAAGTACAGTACTCATTGAACGGTTCCGATTTTTGAAAATGGTTTCTAAGCCAAGCCACTCATCCACAGACTGAACATAATCATTGAACGGTTTCGATTCTTGAACATGGTTTCTTGCAACTCTTCTTCCTGAGCACTAATCACCTTTGCGGAGCACGAGAGCAGGTTTCTTCATTTCTGCCAATAGCCCAACCATCATCACCATGAGCGATGAAGTCCTGGTGCTTCTTTCATGCTCTCATTGCGATATTGCTGCTGCAGTGCTCGTGTTGCTATTCCCGTTCTTTCCGTGCATACTTCCAGGCTCGGTAAGGCAAGGACTGCAGGGATTCAACGTCCATTGAAGACGCACGCTAGTGGGTTTCAGGTGGGATCTGTACCCCAGCCATATCAACCTGTCCGCGATCCCCGCTAAGAAGAAGACCCACTATGCATAGCCAGAGCCCCAGCAATTACTAGGAACTAAAGTTCTTAGCGTACTGTACCAGACTTGGGTGAAAGTGTCCAACAATGGCAAACAATTATAGATTATAGAGCAAAGGGCCCCCGCCGGAACCCCTTAAGTGCCAAAGAGTGGCGGCGGAGAGGCAGTGGAGGCCCTGGGTTGTGTGCTCAGCGATAGCTGGAGGAGCTGTGTCTCACCTGCCGGACTGTAGTGCTAGAACATCACTATGCTTCTTGCATCTCCTCACAAGTTCCACTGGAGGCTCCCGTGCGGCTGCTCGCAGTGCGCATCACGCAATTGTGATTCACTGCTATCTTGCCTACCGTCGGTGGAACTTTGGACAACTTGCGAAGGAGCGCCGGTGGGTCTACTGTCCATGGATGCAAAGGGAATGGAGCTGGAAGATGTAAAGATGCTGGAATTTCCCTTTTTCAAAAAGGCCGACGGCACGTGATTCCTCTGATCAAAGACGAGGAGAGTTGGCTGTAACACCTTGCCCGCTCACCAAATCCAGAAAAGCATTCACAAAGTCCATTGATGGATCCCCCACCAGCAAAACATCAAAGTGCTCTGAGTATTCCGCTAGCATTTCCTCCGAAGGTTGATGGAGGAATGCCACCTTTAAAGCTACAAGCTCGGACGACAGGCCATGCAGTGGTGCACAATCCGAAGGCTTGTCGCCAAGAAGTAGCACGTGCGTCTTCTCTGCCGCAAGTCTTGGAAACTCCGCAATCTTTGCAAACCCTTCGGCTTTGCTGCGAGATGTGACGCTGACATCTGACTCATCGAGGCTGTTGGCCAACAGGCAGGCGTGAGAAGGTAGCTCGGCTGCTGACACTTGAAGGATGGGCAGCAGCAGCTCACGAATCCCAGCAGAAATCACAAAGAGTGGCACGCTCCATCTGCTGATCCACTCAAAGGTGGTACTTAGATTCTGCCGTGTGCGCACATTACTTTTCTGCAAGCACTGTGTGGCAGATTTCGAAAGCCTGTGTTGCGAGGATACCTCATGGAAGGACTTGAACCAATTCCTGGTAGCATTAGCTCTTTGCACGGGATCTTGGCCACACTTGGCCATGCGCTCGGCTTCTGTCAGCCTTTCCCATGCCTTCAATTCTCGGAAAACTTGTGCTACTTGTGGAAAAGATGTGGTGTCGAGGTGCTTCATCACAATCTCGTGGCACTGCTCGCCTTGCACTAGCGAATGTGCCGGGACAACTCAAACAGGAAGCATTCTAAACTTGCTTGATAAAGCTGCCTGGCAAGCCGTCGCTCCCGACATAGCTGGTCAGGGTCTGGTCAAAATCAGTGACGATCATGAGCTTCCGGTGCCCAGCTCTGCAGAAATCCGCGGCCAAACGATCGAAGTTTGGCCCAAACCAGGATCCAGCAGGAGCCACATGGCGAAGAGCGGCAACAACCATTTCACCAGCAGTGAGACTGGTTGCGTCTATGCTGCTTCTTGTGTGTGATCCATTGTTTGCTTTTCTGTGTATATATTGTTTGTCCAGTCACCAGCTATCCACATCTCTCAGTGGTGAATCTGTGCTTGGAGTTGGGCCTTGTGCGAGTCCCCTGCAGCACACCACAGCACGCACAGCACGCAGCGCCTTCTTGAGGCCGAGACAACGACAACTTGAATGTCGCTTCAATGTCCTAAAACTCCTGGGGCCTACCATGCCTACCCTGGACTTTTCAGTCGTCAAATCTCACCCCACTCAATCTGGCTGCCCTCATGTACCGCACCTTTTGGGCTATGAGGGCTCTCGCAGCTGCGTCCAGCTCTGGAGCCCATTGTGGAAAGCAGGGCGCTCTCACTCTCTCTTGTCATTTCGTCTCCCCCCGCTTAAAACCTTTTGCAGCCTGCTACAGTTCGCCCTCTCGTGCGCGCTCACTCGCTTTACTTCGAATGGCTTCATGTAGCAGAACCTACTCGTCCTAGGATATAGCTTTGGAATCATGGTTCCAGGAAATAGGCTCAAAACTCACCCAACGCACTTCACTCCGGATACTCGAAGACCTGCAATCACCGCAACTAGTGACTAGTGGCACTGCCGCAGCTCTGCTGGGAAATGGTTGGGAGGGGATCCAATCCCAATAAATTCAAGTAACCGAAGCGAAAGCAAAGCGACATGGAGGCAGAAGGCCACTGCAGATTTACAAGGCGGATGCTCCAGCCGGGTTCCTGGGCTGCCTTTGTCTCCGTGTGGGTGGCCTTGTGGGCCGGGTTCCTGGACTGCTTGTCTCCGCTTGTTTTGCTTTTTCTCCCTTCGCCGGGCCCCTTGTCTCCGCTGGTCTCCCCTTGATGTCGGTGGCCGTTGCCGGGTCTGAAAAGCCATGGCAAGAAGATTGCTTGCCAGTTGGGTTGAAGAGCCAGTGATTGAAACCAAAGGGCAAGGCGCCAACATGAAACCGAGCATGCCAAACTCAACACATCCCCGGCCGACACGCGGCACAAGCGAAACTCAAGAAACAGATTCCCAGCCTTCAAAGCCTTGGTCTTGCTGCCCAGCACCGAGTGCAACCAAGAAGAGCAGTCGCATGGCCGGTGGCAAGAACAAGGACATCGTTTGCGGTACGGTTTCGCATTTCGGCTTGAACACATCAGCAGCGCACCATGAATCGCATGCATGAACGAGTTGTCCGTCAAACCGCAGTGGGAGAACACTAAAGTCTTGCAATCATCACAAGCCTGGTCCACCGCTGAACAGCGGCATGGCCACCAACCTCTGCGACATGGTTCGTTCAAGTTACGCCGAACGGGCGCGCAAGAGGGTGCTAGTAGTATGATGATCTGCCTAAAGGCATCTAGCAGGCAGTTTCGCAAAGTCACAACGACAGAGTATGTCAGGCTGCTGGTGCATACGAGCGGGTGTGACGTAGAACCACATGGCGCGATGCAGCCGTTTGTCGAGACTGTCTCGCCTCCAGCTTGTTCCAGAAGAAGGTATTCGGGCACCAAACTTTGTTTTGGCCATGCTCCTTGCCGGCATGTCCACGATTCATGTCGACAAGTGCTGATCTGTAGCTATACTGCATGATACAGCCCATATACAGCCAATACAGCTATGCCACGAGCCTGCAGCAGCCTCATGTAACAATTCACGACCTGCCATCGGAGAACTTGAAAGCAACAAGGCCGAAGCTTTTTCTGTTGCAAGAGCCTGTAACAAGAGCCTAGCTGCTGCTCAGAGCTCAGCCGAAGAGCTGTCGAGGCAAAATTCTGTGCACTGAAGAGTCAATGTCCGCATGGCACAGAAAAACGTGGATCGGACAGTATCGGACATGCCCACCCAAGCTCGAAACTGAACGAAAAAGGCGATGGCTGATGGCGGATTCTTCGGAAGCATTGCTACTGGCCACTCTCACCATCGGCGTTGCTTCAGCCTGAGCACTCACATGCACCGGTTGGAAGGCCCCCATGGCCCAGCAACTTTCAGAATTCCACGTCACAAGCTGGATTGCAATTGAACTGACCTCTGGCGTGAGCACTTCTTTTGTTCCACAAGCAATGGCGCTATCAGGCGCTATCCCTTGCATTGCTTCGCGAAAATCCTTCTCGAAAATCGAGTGGCCTCACTAGCAAGAAGGCTAAGGGCTAATTATCAACGAGCGCTGGGATTCGGCGGTGGAACTCCTGCTCGGCAGGCGGTCGCCTCTGTGAAACGAAACTGTGTTGCGATCAGCTTGGAGACGCTGCTTTTTTCAGCATCTCCAATGCTGCCACCATGACTACTAGCCGTGAAGCTGCCCTTAGATCCCTTGTTTTGCTATGGGGCTCTAGAGTTTTTGGATGCATCCAGTCTCCTCCAATCATTTGCGTCGCCCCCTCTGCTTGCCCCCTGGTCGAGACTTGGAGCGTGAACCATCTTTGTTGCTGCTCTTTCCTCGGTCACAAGACTTGAACGCGCAACATTGCCGCAACATGTATTCTTATGTTGTTCCAACTGTGGGAATGTCCAGGACCGTCTCCCGATTTGCCAAGTTCTTTGCAAGGCTCGGTTTGCTCGGCGCGCGCTCCTAACGCGGCGTGTGGACACAGGCGAGGTGTGCTTCTTCTTTTCTGCCTCATCCCTGCGAGCAGATCGAATGATATCGAACGCTGACAAGGTTCTCGAAGCAGCATTGCTCGGGCCTTCCCTGGATTAGCCCTGCCACTGTTTGACGGAGCTCAGTTTCGGTTGCCTGGAAGAGTTCAGACAGCATTGTGCAGCCTAGCAATGACAATACTCTGTCACTCTGTCTGTTCACCCAGCCTGTGACTTGGCCAGCTCTTTCTCTGCTTGCTCTGCCCTGAGTCGCAGCGCCGCTACTTCTGCATCGGCCTCGACAGAACTGTACACATTTTTGAAAATACGGGTTGGTCTATTCACCAAGTGTCACGCAGCTAGTATAGTGTGCAGCCAACTTGCTGGAGTGCTATGCTGGTGGTCAAGAAATCAACTTTCACCTGGCCTTCCCGCTCATCGCTGCCAGTTGACGTGCCGAGTCTTGCTTCTGCACTTCCAGCTGAGCCATGAGGCTGCCTGTGCATTGCCAAAGGAAGTCCAAGTAACAATATGGTCATGATTCCATATGACTCATCACATCTCACCATCAAGGGTTGATGATTGCTCATGATATGTTTTTTGGTCGTGGATCCCAAGCCTGTGGATATTCGCAAGGATGCGGCCTCCTCTTGCAAATGGCCGTGAGATCGCTCGAGGGCCCTGCATATTTGTCGGGTCGAGGCCATGTGCAGGCAAGTTGTGATGCATTATGTGGTGACAGATGATACAGCCTGAATTCCTTGTAGTCCACTTTGGTTGCTGCGAGCTGCTTCTGCAATGAGGCAAGATTTTCTTCAGCAGCCTCACAAGACATCTCCGGCACAGGATGGGCGGCAACTTGGATCAAAGTGGAAACGAAGGACGCTTCATGTTTGCCAGTCGCCTCTGCTCGTCCACGCTCTGTTTCCTTAATGGAATGCTCTTCCCTGAGCTGCTCGAGCTCCTGGCAAGAACTACATGGCATGGTCATGCACGAGCTAGCTGGTCCTGTTTGAGACTGAGGAAACTTGAAGCGTTCTGAGCAGGTGCAGAGTTTACAGGTTTGTACGAGATTTGGAGTGTGAGGTTTATGGTGTGCGGGGCGTGTTTTTGACTCCAGACCATTAAAGCAAACTGGCGAAGCATGCGAACTGTATGATGCTGTATGCGACAACTTACATTCCACTCAGTGAGTAGCTGTGCAGCTGACGGGCCGTCCTCTTTCATCAACGTGACGCCGTCTGCAAGGCTCATGCTCGCCAAACTGCTACCATGAATCTGTTCCAACGCCGCCCTGGCCAACCATCGCCAGCAACAGCTTTGACCGTGCAAACACTGCACGACGTCTCGCGGAAGGCGAGGAACAATGCGGCTTCGGCCCTTAAGTCCGATTGCTGTGCCTATCTGCTTCTCGAGTGGAGTTGCAAGTGAGTTGGGGACAGGTGTCAGGACTGGCTGCTGCAGCTCTTCCTCAACAGCGCGGCGGGAAAGGTCGGAGCCTTGTGTGGTGTTCTCGAGTGAACGTGGGCCCAAAGGCCGATTCGCCCTCGAGGGTGAGTCCCCTTGCGCACTGCGAGCCACAGATCCTTCTGTTTCCAGCGAGGCTCTGCGTGCAGACGGTGCAGATGCTGGGTTAGGGCTGGCCTGGCTTTGGGCGCTTCTAGGCCTGCTTGGCCCTTCAGCGCTAGTTGGCGCTGTGCTACCTGCGCTGGCTGGTCGATACAGTGATGCAGTGGAAGGCCTGCCGACCGAATCATGCACGCTGCCAGCACTGGTCGGACGTTGGCTCATTGCAATCGAAAGCTGGCCAGGAGATCCTTCACGCACGCTCCCTGCACTTGGCGGTCTGGTGGAGGCACTGGCAGGTCGAGATGCACTGCTTGGCCAGGATTTGCCAGGAGATATACAATCGGCAGCCATGGCATGAAATTAACGGGGCGCCAGGGCTCGATCTTGCCACGGATCCTATACATATGTCGACTGCACAAGCCGGGCCACGGCTCTAGGACTCTAGGAATAATCTGGAATCTCTCGAAATGCCAACAGTTCCATGTCACCACTGCCAAAAATCCTGCCTGCAGACCACACGGGCTCATCTTGTTTGGGAGTTTGGTGCCCGGGTTCTTCCAGGGCACACTGAACAAAAGGCGGCAGAATGCAGACCGCCCTTCAAGTCGAAGCACAACAGAGGACAGTCACGTGTGCAACTGATTTCTGCAGCTGCATTTGCGCACCAACTGCCGCCCGGGGATGCATCTGACAACCCGAAGGTTCTGGCACAAGAGCTACAGCAGTGCTGCGCATTAAGGCGCTTAGGAGCTGCACATGGGCATAACGCAGGTCTCAGCTTTTTCTTCACGTGGTGTGCCCATTCTGGATGATGACAGGAACTGCTTGGTCACGTCGCCTCGCAACTAGCCAGAAGTCGTCTTGCTGTGTGGAAGCACTGCCTATCCTGAGGAAATCGGGAGTTCGAAAATTCTCAAAAGGGCCACCAAGCCACCCGTGCAAGCAGCTTGAACACCAGCGCACCCAAGCAAGTTGGCAAAATGACGCAGCCAAGAAGAAACAAGAGAAGCGCCAGGAGCCACATGGACCAAGGCCTCAGGCATCTGCAGTGTGTGGAAGCTTCGTCGCTCCTTTGTGGTGTCAAAATTGAAGTCTGAGCCCGGCTCTTTGGGACGGTGCTGTAGTGGGCCCCTCGCATGTACAGGAAGCCCGGCATGATAAGCACAACAGTGTTGCTGCCAACAGCGCCCACGAAAGCCAGGGTTATACCTTAGGCCCGGATGCCTACGAATCTTGTGAGTGTTTGACAGATTCAGAAAGGCTGTTCTGTAAGCTAGGCACCCAAGTCGTGAACGGCAACTGCCAGCAGTCCGGTGCCAACCTTGATCTGCGAAGAGGAGTTACAATAAGAATGGAATGTCGGGGTTACAGCTTCGGGTTTCCAATTTCGACCAAAAAAACATGGTGCTCTGCTTCAATGTCTGGTCACTGTCTGGTCGTTTACATTAGGCTTGCAAGGCGCGCAGGGGATTGGAAAGATCTCAACATGTGCGAATCAGAAAGGCACGAGTCTGGTAGCGGAAGCGCCCATGACATGCAGCCTGGAAGCCAAAATGAGCCTGAGCTTTGAGAGTTTCCCCACACCGGGTTCCTTCTGGCCAGAAAGTGCATAATGTGCATGCAAATGGCAGCCAAGTAGCACAGTGAACACGCGCCGACAGATTCGATCAGCACTCCGGCTCAAAACTCTGCCTTGCTTGATCAATGATGCCGAGATGAGATTGACAAGGTGATTTGCTGGTGGTCCTGCCTTGGAGTGATTGCACGAGAATCATGAGGGATCGTCGGCACGGGTGCAGCTGTAGCGGGTATGTGAAAATCACCTCACACATTGCACGGAGCAATCCTTGACCAACAAAACCAAGACAAACCCACCACGCTTGCTTGCCAGTGCATGTACCAGGCGACCGCTAGAAGGACCAAGCATTTCCCCAGCCTGGGCAACGACTTGCGCATGTGCTCTCTCCCTCTTCTTCTGTCTTCTTCCGTCTTCTTCTCCTTGGTCCAGGCTGTGCATGACTCTTCCTTCCTTCCTTCCTGCCTTCCTTCCTTTGCACTTGGTCCCCGATGGGACCGCCCGGAGGCATGACTTCAACTTATTATTAATCTTTTGCTTCTTCTTCTTTCCCTTTCATGCTCTCGTTTCTTCTTTCGTTCTGTGAGTCTTACTTTTTCGGTACGTCACTTCTATTTCCTTTCCCAGGGCTTCCGGGTGCAACCTCGGCGTGGGTTGCGCGCCCCGGTTTGAGGCAAACAGCGGCGGCCAGAAGACCCCTCAAAGACTTCAGGAGGCCTGCATTAAAGCTCGCGGGGACAATTCGAAACAGGGATCTCCGACTGTGGAAAAACACCTGTAGAGTGGCTCTCTGCAGCAGTTGGCCTTCATTTAGCTTCAGCCCTTTGCAATTTCGGTGGATTATGTGTCATCACAGCTCGGAGTTTGCCATATTTGGGTTCGATTTGGAGGCAACCTCCCATCGGGCCATGCCTTTGAAGGTTTTGTGTGGGACTGTGCAACTCAGGTGGGTCTTCGTTGGGGGTCTCCCCAACAATCGCAGCACCCCCAACCCACAAATAAGACCCGGGACCCACGAGGGGGAGGCAGGTGAAGGTGAGTGTTCCCGCAGGGATACAGTTGAAAGTTCCCTCCTGTATGGAGGCTCCCTTGTTGGACAGAAATGTGAACTACCATACTGCGAAGTCGTGTTTCTCCGCAGTTAGCTGCTCCCAGTCTACTGAACTTACAAACCCCTATAGTCAGCCTCATTTTGCTCAGCACTGGGTCAATGTCTCCCATTATCTGTGGTTTGCCGTCGCTGTCATCTCCCCAGCTGAGTTGTCGAGGCTCCGATGGGGTGCTGCAGTTCTCAGCATTTCGAAGTTGTTACAGAGTGGGCTCCAGCCCCTCGAGGTTGCGCTCGGCAAAAGTGCCGTGAGCTGCCTTCGTGAAGCCACTACGCCTCTCAGGGCCTCTAGACGCTCCAGGGTGCCTCCGCGGGCATGGTCAGGGTGCGAGTGCTGGGTGGGGTGGCGTGCCCATTGCGGTATTTGCGTTGCGTTGCTTCTTTCCTTCTTCTCGGCAGGCTTGATGAGAGGCTTCACCAAGGTTAATCCGAAAGCACGCCACAAGGTAGGCTCCCCACAATTTGTTGCTGCTGTCTCCCAGCTTCTCTTCTCTCTTTGTTCTTCCGCTTCTAGAACTTCTTCGTCCTCTCACTCGCTCGTCTCAGATTTCAGCACCAGCATGAATTGGACACCTGAGATTGCGGCAATGTAAATCCATTGGCCGGCAAATTCTCGAGGAAATTTGCATGAACTTCCTGACCAAACCTTGACTCAATTGTTGCAAAGACTCTTTGCCGTTACTTGCCAAAGCACGCTGCTCCACAGTCTGCTTGTCGCCGATAGATGTCACCTACGGTTTGGAGAGTCCTGTCTCGACGATTTGATGGACATCCGTCGCACGTGCCTTTTTCATGCGAACATGAGCTTCAACAGCATGACTCAGCCACCCAACGACGAACGCCCACACCTGGCTTTAACAAAAGAACAAACTGGAAGAATGCCTGTCGAAGCATCGCGTTTCCGACCCTGTCGTCCGTCTGATTCTTTCTGCAGTAGTTTTCAGTTTCGGGGTATGTTGGGGGCACCTCACTCATGCAAGCGTTTCCAGGCCAGGGTCGAGAGGCATGCGTGTGCAGGCCCGACCCTGGCCACCTCGGGAAGGGGTACTTCGCGATACTTCTAGTTTGAGCGACTCATGACTCATGATAAGTCAGATGAAGGGCGTCAGGTAGCCGCTGAGGCCAGCAGTGGCAAAGATGACCAGGCCGGTGTTCACGGCACAAACAAGGACCTTGCCAACGTTCTCGCTCCCAAATTTCTCAAGAAAAATAGGTCCAATTCAAGTGATTCAAGCGGCTTTGTCCAGCCGCTCAAGGGACCGATCTTTGAGTTCCGAGGCGACGGGAAATAAATTCCTTCGTTGCGGAGGACACAGATGGGGAAAGGGGAATGGGATGGATCGGAATGGATCGCTTTGAACAGTGCTGAAGGTACCTAAAGCCAATTCTCAAACGCTGTCTCCACGCTGAGACAAGCAAAACAGCGTTTGGCCCTCCCTACGCCTGTGCTGAACAAGCGGCTGGTGGCAGGTGAAGCTGAAAATGAAGACAGGCAGCACCGATGCAAACCTCAGGGTAGCGGTTTCAGAACATAGCCGAGACATGATGATCGCAGAAGTCACAAACCTATTGCAGCGATGGCAGTGCTGTGCAACTTGGGCAATAGCTGCACAAATGTCATGTCTGCCGGAGGGAAGACCTGCGAGTATGCAACAAGCTAGCATTGCAGACCGGCTGGCCGCACTCAATGCGAACACATCGAACACCTGCCACACTCTTGGATGTGGATCGTGGCACCAAACCGCGTACCCCGCCATCAGCATTGAGACGTACAGCCAAGAACCTCAGCCCAGCTTGCACCGTGCTTCGCGCTGGATTCTGGCATCTGGACAAACAAGCCATAGCCTGATGCAAGGGTCCAGACATATAGCGACCATGTTCTTCAGGGCGGTCTTGGTGATGGTCTTATGGAAGACTTCTGGGCCGATGACGAAGAGGATGACCTGCTACCGGCAGGGCGAACTGAACACCTCCAGTCACTCCATAACAGATATGTTGTATATGATATACAACAATGGCCAGGTATATGGCTCTGCTTGCTGAGCTGCGCAGACCAGTAACTTCAAACGCAGGTGGTCAGACCTAGCCCGTGCACATCCGCAGAGCGCAGCCAGCACAGCTTCACTTCCAAAGCATGCGGCAGCTTGCTGCAAAGCCGCTGAGGGTGTATAGTCCAGCCCAGCGGCTGCAACAACTGCACCACCAATGATGGCCCGAGTTGACCAATCACCTGCAAGTAGCCTGAATTGCCGCAAAGTACAGTGAATCACCCCGCACAGAATCCAAACTGCATACCTAGAGCAGTGCAGGCTAAGCGTCTTGTAGCCACGCCAAAGCACTTAATGGCCTTGGACTGCAGGGTTGGAATCCCATGCTGTGTGGTGTCAGGACAACACAGGACAACATGACAACCGATCGGACGTCAGCGAGTGTCTATCGTCACGTCAACCCAGTGTCTTGCGCAGGGGGCCTGGCAGTTGGCGTGCACACCGCAGCAAATGGCACATGCTCGTCATGCAACTGGTTCAGCTAAGAGCCCGCACCACAGCAATGCACACCTTAGCCACAGCCACCAAACGGGAATATCCCTTGCATGCCACACTTGCACAGTTCCACATATTCACGCATGCTAGTGATTAGTGTACTTGCATGTACTTGCTCTTCAACAAATTCCCATCACCCGAGGACTCGGGCTATAGAAGTTCTAGTAACGTTTCAAGTACCCACCGCCTCCCTTACTTCGGCATTTTGGCTTCGGAATGCGTAGCACCCATTCGGGTGTGGACCCGCGTGGACGGTGTGCCAAAAGCAAAAGGCTGTTGGCGCGCCCATCGCTCTCTATGCTATGGACCCCTATTTGACCGGCATCGCTTCGGAAACCTACCCCGTATGAACCCTTAGACAGGCTCTTTGTTTCTGCATGGGCCCTCCTGCTTGACCTTCTGTAGGTCCGTGTGGAACCCTTCATGGACCGACTGCCTACTATACTTTGTCTCCGTCTCTGGACGGCTGGATCTCCCATGAACCCCGCAAAAACCCCTCCTGGCATGGATGTCCATGCACCCGTGGATCGGATGTGCGTCCTCTAGCACAAAGCCCCATGCGTTCCCCATAGCCCCTCTCAATTCCTGTCCCTCCCTTTCCCACCCCATGCTCGCTCTTTCCGAACAACCACACGCTGCCTTCGCCTGCCGCCCACCAGGCCGAGGTGGGTCGCGCAGCGTTCAAAATTCAAAAGCGCTTGCTCAATCTCTCTTGGCGACAAAGTTGCAGAGTAGAAAGTGATGTCCTGAGATGCACAGACCATATCCTAACGCCGTATCGAGCAAAAGTCACTGGCCCAAGTTCTTGACTATGACTCTCGTGGCCTTCGTGCGAGTCGAGTCTCCACCGCATCATGGCGTCCATCCACCAGGTCTATGGCTAATGAGGAAAGCAGGTGAAGCGCAAGGGCAGCACAAGCCCCAGCCCCAACGAGCATGGACAGACCTGACACAATCTCGGGACCCAATGTGGGCAAGCTCATCTGCACATCTCCTTTAAGCTTATGCCTCCTGAAGCTTTTGCCGTGACCCGCCTAGTGCCAAGCCAACCGCGGCAATGGCCCAGGGCAGGCCAAGAATTCCAACCCCCAGCAGTGTGTTTGCCAACACACCTCGAATTCAAGAGCGACTGGATGCAAGGCTCGCTCCGCCTCATGTCACGGTTCGCCATCAGTCCCAGGGGCACCAGGATGTGAACAACGTGGCCTGTCCAGGTTGCTCACAAATTTGCTAGCACTCTGAAGGTTTTCTTGCACGGCATGTTGGGCCTGCGGCGGCTTTGCAAAGCAAGGCTGCATGTCGTGAGCATGGGGTACTTGAGCCTCCCGAGAAACAGGTGTGTGTGTGTGTGTGTGTTTGAAATGCTTGAAGTTTGAATACTGCCCCCGGACCTTTTCCCCGTCCAGCAGGCTGCTGGCCAAAGCCGAGCCCGAGGCGCCCGCCGCCGATTCTGGAGTGAATTGTCGCCACAGCCCTGGAACCTCAGCATGGCATGCCGTCTATAGGAAATGCCACGGACCGGAGAGCCTTACATTTCTGCGATTTTGTGCGAGTGTCTGGAGTCGGCTGTGGTGAGCACATAGGATCCTCGGCTCAATGCGAGTGCAAGGGAAGGGGGCGGGGGGCCAAATGAGAGCAAACGAGAGGAACAATATTCACTGAATACGGAATTTGTGTCACGTGGCCTTAAACCAGACTAAACTTGCGCAGCCGTGCTGTCAGGCTTTGAGAGGATCTCTCCTTCTCGTCTAAAGCCGAGGGCAGGGTCATAGATGTCAGCGAGTGAGGTACGGGCGATTTGCGTTGAAGCATGGGCCATGTTGGGCTTTGGCGAAACCGCCGAGTCTCCAAAAGCGTGTGTCCAGGGTCGCCATCCTGTGCAAATGACAGATGTCAAGATGCTTTGAGCATCTTTGCGCTGTTATTCGTTGCCATCATCCAAATCAGTCCTCGCTCAGGGGATCATGAAAAGCCTCAGTTCTGATCAATGCTCCGAAGCCCTTGCAGCCCTTGGGTGGTGTCGAGTTGACATGAGTTTCCTGTGAGTGCCTGGCTGGGCTTGCAAAGCGGCCCATGCTTGTTGGGCTTGTGACGACGCCTGCAGACAGTTTCAGCAACCACCAAAGCATACGTAAGGACACGCTGCAGTATCAAAAAATATCAAAAACACACGCGGCAACAGCACAGCCAGCGCATGCCAGCACCTCCAGCATGGCTGCTCGGAGTCTCGCATCCCGCCAGCATTTTGTGATCTTAGAGCTTCGTTGAGCGACGTACTTCTGTGCTTATACTTGCTATCTCCAATTTCAAAAGGAACTGTGACTGCCGCTTTCCTTTGGCGCTGCTGCAGAATCTGTGGGTTAGGACTTTGCATGTGATGTCTGCCTCTGCTGAGCCACGGCTCACGCTAACCCCTGATTTTGCTTTGTGCTTTCTGCCTGACTCTCCCCTTATAGCTTTCCGGGCTGTTTGATTCACCCGTGATGCCTCGTGATGCCCTCCCTCTTCTGTGCTGATTTTTGACTCTAGAATGTCTCGGTGCACACTACTTTTCCTCTAGTGCGCCATGGAGAAGTCGTCCGAACACTGCTTGTGGTCTCTCATGTCAGTTAGCTTCACAGCCTTGCGTGCGTCTGCTTGGCAGGCACACATGGGCAGGTGTCGCAGCAGTGCCATGGCTGGAGGCACTGGCGTTCGCAATGAATGCATCACCCGCACCCTGACAGTCGCCCCGCCGGCGACTTTAATCCCGCAAAAGCTTACAACTCTGAGCCACGTCGGTTTTGCATGCTCTGCCTTGCGGCCTGCATCTTGGTGCCAAATGAGAAGAGGTCCGCAGACGAGTTTAAGTGCTCGTAGACGGCATCAGCCAAGCCATATGCATTCTGTTCATCCGTGCCAAACTTCAAGTGATTGAGTACAGATGCGATGCGTGGGTCGGCTTGCATACCGACCGCCTCGCCAACAAACAGATGTGATCCCAGCATCATGTGCATTTCACACACATTGCCATAAACTCGCAGGGCTCTGATCATTTCGTCTTCGTCATCGCCATACATCAACGTGACGATATGCTTTCGTAGTTCCAGCTCTCCTTGCGGAGCCCATTCCGTAACATCTTCCTGCACCCAGTCCCGAATGCTTTCCAGTGCATCTGGCGCATGGTTGAACTCCAACACTTGGCTAATCTCCTGAGCAGTTGTCGCACTAACAACTCGAAGAAGATACTCAGAACTCCGAGAGTATAGTTCAACCGGAACCAACAACCTGCTTGAAGTCTGCCAGGAGTCTACAAACTTTCGGTAGATGTCCTCCCCAAGTGGCTCGGCACAAGCGAAAGGAATCATCAATGCAAGCCAAAGCCGGAGCGCCATCTGTCATGGCAGGCTATGAGAAAACTAACTGTGAACTAAGTACCAGCAGCTCATCCGATACAACAGATCCGTCTCCATGAGGGTTCACGTGTGAACATGATCCAGCCGTGCGGCAGCTTCTAATTGCAAAGTACCTTTCTGAACGTAACAGGCCGAGCGCCACGCTCCAGCTGTCATGCGAAGGACGTAAAATGTTCCTCGAAGGCAAGCGGCTGGCCGCTACGAGAAACAAAGCCAGGATAAAGCTGAGAGGGTCCTGAGGATTTTGTTTTCTCCGCGAAGCCGACATCGAATCGCCAGCGCCATGTGTGTTCACATCTTCTATTCGCTGCACGTGGCTGCGATCACACTTAGCTGGAACTGAAGATTGGAATATCGAGCCTGATTCCAAGAAGATTCACTGTCGGTCACGTTCTCACGAGTCTGGCTGGAGTAAGTTGCTCGGGAGACACCAAGCTTCTGCTTCGGGCTGGAAAGCAATGGGAGGATGCGGTTATACATGCATGCGCCTGTACTTACAGTTGCAACATGTTGCCGGAGCCAAGACGGGCGCGGGCAGCGCGCCGGAATCTGAGAAGCGAGCTGGCTCTTCGCCAGCGTTCTCCTAACTGACCTCTCCCCTTCCGTGAAAGCTTGGTCGGGCCTCGGGGGGGCGGGGTGAGAATGCGTGGATTCGTAGGCACTGCGAAAATCTTCTTTCAGATCTTGGCTGGATTGAATCTTTTGAAGTCAGTCTTGACAAACGTGCAGTGAATGAGCTGGCAACTGGAAGGCGTCAAGCTATGAGTTTGATCAGGCATTGGCGGCTGGGCGTAACATCCTTCTGCCCGCTTTTCCAAACTGCGCTGGTCTTGAACTTTGGCAACAACAGACAAATATGATCAACATTGAACGAGACTGCATGCATTTTACTGCAGCTGCCTAAGCTCATTCTCAGTGGGCACGTTACCGTGAGAAAGTGTGCATTGTCCATCTTTGTGTATCACCGAGCATCCGTCCATCTGTCATTGCTGCTCTATGCGTGCATTGGCACATGAACCACCTAAACCGCCTGAACCGGTGCCTCGTCGTTGAGCCATTGGTCGGGCAGAAGGCATGACCTTGCCATGGACACAAGGAGACAAGGACCCTTAGTCACAAGGACACCGCAGAATAACTACAACAGAATACTGAAGACAATTTGAACGCCGCAGGAAGACTCAAGAAGACTGCACAAGGCCCGAGAAAAGGTCTGCGAGGGAAACTCGGCTTCGATATGCGCGAGATGCACTCGAGCGGCTTCATGTTGCCAAGGGCACCGTGGAAGCGTTGGGAGAAACTTGTATTTACACATATTTACACCCTTTTCTACGAGAAAGAGTCAAAGAGGACTTCAATAGACTCTCAAGGTGACGCCATCCTGCCCGCGATTCAACGGTTTGCAGACATCCGTGCGTCCCCTTTTGATGTTCCACAGAGAGATGTCGCGCGGACGTATGAAACAGTATATCGATTTGTGGTTTTTTGGAGCTGTTTTTGTGATTCATTGTGATTCTGTTTTTGGTGCCTCACTCTCTTCACACACTTGTCACACCGGAGCTTCTTTTGAACAGCATGGGCGTTTCTGGGTCTGGTATACCTGGGCGGCACTCCACTGCAGTTTCTGTGCAGACTCGAGAGAAAGACTTGCTGGAGTTGGGGGAGTCGTGAACATGTTACGTACACCTGCCTATATGTGCTGCTATGGTTAAACGAGTCTGGAATTGACGGCCAGGAATCTGCAAGCTGCTCTGGTGCGAAAAGGCCGCGAGAAGATTCACATCTTCAAAGCTTTCTGCGAGGAAACGGTGGCTGGTGCAATGGGAAACTCCCTGAATGCATCAACGTCACCGTTGGCCTCCTTCAAATTCATGCAGGGCAAGGCCCGTACAGCCAGCACGCATGTTTAATGGAAAAGTCCGTGCGTGCGGCGAAAAGTATGTACTCACAGCTGGATCAACAAAGTGATTCCAGTGAGCAGGAAAGTAAACCCAGCGGTCCAGCATGCAGCTGCACAGATCCAACAAACGGCAATCTGCTCTTACCACACTTGCCGCCGAAACTGCGAAGACCATAAGCAACAAGCGTAGTTCACTTGTACAAGCCTTGCTTTTGGTTTCTGCAGCATGCGGACGCCCTGTAAAGAGCTGCAACCCTCATTAGGGTTCCATGGGGAGGGCGCGCAGATCTGAGATGACCTGCGGGGCCGAAAGTGCGTTGGGGTGTGCACGGACAAAGTCGTGAACCATGTCCGCCAGCCCTTTGGCTGCCTGGGGTCCCAGATGGACCAAGTCCAATGTTACGTCCAAATTTCGCTCCTGTTGGATCTGTGCAGGGTTTTTCTGCAGGATGTGCATGTCCCAGCAGAGGAGGCAGCACCAGGCGAAGAAGTTCATTCCGCAGTAGGGCCTTCCATCCTTCGGCAGTGCTGCATAGGTCATCTCAAAGAGAGGCAGATATGTACAGCGACCTCCAGACTCAGCCACCTTTCGAACGATGGAGGCAAACTCAGCTGCCCTCTTGTTGGCCTCCGACTGCAGGTCCTGTGAGACTCTGGCTACATGCATGCGGGTGGCATGATGGCTGAACAGCTGAGCGCTCGTTATGACTCTTGACAGCAAGCGGTCCTCTCCAAGCACTGGCGGTGAGACCAGTGCAACATTTGCCCCTGCCTCAACCAAGCGTTCCTTTATGTCTCGCAGAGTTCTCTCATAGGACTCCAGTGACGGGACTTCTGGCAACTGGCCGAAGACTTGATACATGAAGCCTTCCACTGGCGAGAGTGCTGCTTTCAAGTCATTGGTTCCCACGAGCACCGTGACATGAGATGGCTTGCATTGAATGACCTCGCCGATGCGCTGCTGAATGTTCTGCGAGCATTGCCTTAGGAGTTGCAGTGAACAGGCAATGGGCATTGTCATCCTTGGACCTAAAACTGATACTCAAAACAAGGCCCCAACAACACACAACTTGAACTTCTGAACAGGCCGCATATTGACGCCTGCGTTCAGGACCAAGCCTTGCTTCAAGTCCTTTCTTAAAGAGCTCACCCAGTCGGTCGACAGATTGCCGCGTGTTATACTGTCCCCAAGGCAAACAATTGGAGCCATGTTTTGACGCAACTGCCGCGTTTTCAATTGTTTTTTGAGGAATGCTTTGGGTGTATTCTTGTCATCATCCATGGCCACCCTCAGCACGGTCGCCCCGGAAAGCAGAGCCGCCCAGCCGACACAGGAAACAAGCGGATCACTGCAAAAGGATGCTGCATCCGCCCAGACTTTGCGCCGGATGCTGTTCAGTGCCGGTTTCCGCGGCTTTTGTGGCATGCTCGAGGCTCTTGCAAGTGCACACCCCCAGGGTGTTGCCGCCCGGACATATTTGCTCGGAATGCTCGGCGCAAATCGTTGTGGTGGGGGCTCAAGCCCGCCAAAGCGCAGCATGCTTGGCGCGAAAACTGTGCGGTGCCTACGCAAGTGCGCAAAAAGCTTGAGCCATGCGATAGAAGAGAAGTTACTGAAGCCAAGCACATGCCCTCAGAAACTGCACCGCTTCGCTGTGACGAAGAAAGCATGCAGGAGCCGGACAGGTGCCGTCGTGTCAGCTCAGCCCCGAAGCGGATGCATAGCACCTGCAGTTCTTCCGTTGAAACAGTACGCAACTTTAAGCAACTTTCAGCAATCATGGCAATTCCGAAACCCCGCAGGATCCTCCTCGGGTTGCTTTGCCAGGAGCTGCTCATCCAGCCCGTTAGCCAAGGCGATGCGCTGCTCCTCTCTGCCAAGAAATGAGCTCTACCATGCAGGAATCTCAAACAAGCCGAAAGTATTGTCACGGGCGAGATATGGCAAGCATCTGCAGGAAAAGCTCTGCGCATTGGTACAAGTGTACCGCTTGTCTGAGTACCGCAAGAAATCCTGCAGCCACGGGGATGCTCCGCGTTTGCGGACGCCCGCGCCACCCGCACCTAAGACAAATCCTGGAACTCTCTGGAACGGAACGCGTTGCGTTGTGCCCGCAGTTCCCTCGTGTATCCTGGGCGAAGCCAAGCACCCAGGCTCACAAGTTCTGCGAAATGCCCATCAGCAATTGTGGTCTACGACAGTGTGGTTCCACACAAGTGTCGTAGCGACAGCTATTTACACGCGCCGGTCTGCGTTTGTATGCAGCGGCCGAATTCATGCGAGTTGACCTGACTGAGCACGTTGGCTCCTGTACAGGTCACAAAACCGGACTTCTTCCTCAGCAAATGCGCTGCAGCCTGGTCAGGAAAGCTGGTCCAAGTGTCCAGGCATGCAGCGGCATGTAGGCGCTCGCTCTGTGTTCCCAGTCTTCGAGAACAACAACCCTGTGGAGGAAGAACGCTTCTGCCATCTTCGGCTGCAGGTGTTGGGCCGCGTTACACTTTTGGCGTCCAAAAGAGTTGTTGACGTACTGTCCCGTAATTCAAAGGATTTCTGTGATCCCTTCACTCCCCACCCTACGTGTCCAATCCTATTCAGATTCAAGTGCAAGATGTGACACCTCAGGGAATGCTTCGTACAACTCTCGCACAAATTTCCTTGCTTTGACACTTTGGCGGCTTCCTGCTCCTTTCTTCCGCTCCTCAACGCAAAAGCCTGCCAGTCAAGCGGTCACCCTCTGATCACAGGCACACACCACGGAGCAAGAGGAGGAATGCCACCTGCCCGGAGGGGCCCACCCCCAACCACCACGAGCGGAAAACCAACATAAAATGGGCAAGCAGTCGCTTGAACCGATGGGTTTTCCAAAAAACCATGCTCTGGCTGATCAGTCACCGCACGCAGAAGCTTCCCCAACATGGATCCCCAATTTGAGCGTGCCCCACATCACAAATCCCCAAGCGGGAAAGCACAGACAGGCTCGCAACAGGGTTCGGCGTCCTGAGCCAACGAGGCCAAGTCGATCCGCTGAACTTCCGATCGAAGCCCACCAAACCGTCAAGATGCAACCAATTATGGTTATGCAGTTATGTCACTGTCGCCTTCAAAAACACAATGAGAAGCAGCTGAGCCCTCCAGCTACGCGACCATGCACAGACTGCTCCCTTGCCCTTCCTTTCCACTGTCCCTAGAGCACGACAAGTGCAGTCAGAGATTGTGAGAATGCTGGAGTTTGCGGGCTGGAAGGTGTATCCCGGGGCAGAACTCTGGAGCTGCTGGAGAAACCGAGAGCTGTGGAGGGTCCTGGGAGGATTCCCATGGATTCCCTATCTCCTTTTGCTCGAGGGGTTGTGGCGGCTGGAAATGTGCGTAGGCGCAGGGCCTGGAGCTTTTTGGCTTGGAGCGAGTCGAGGGTCCTGGAAATTCTGAGAGAACGCTGGGGGGTCGTAGGCTGAAAAGTGAGCCTCCTTATTGTAGCGCTGAGAGAACAAAGAGACCGAGGGTCTTGGACTGCCTTCCAGGATAGGGTTAGGGGTATCTTCCGTGCCCTCTTTCTATCTCCCGCTCGCTTTGCTTGCTGTAGTCAACTACAGCATCTACTGAAGCTCGCGCACATTCGCGCACCCTCGCAATGGCTTGCGGCTTACGCTGGTCGCACCGGCGGATATCGCCGATGCGCGCTGTGAAACTCGGATGCATTCGGCCTCGGCCCTTCCATGCCTTTGAAGCCCCTCACGTCCTCTCACATTGCCTGCCCGTCGGTTCAGACAGCAGTTCAATAGCAGTTCGATAGCAGAGATGTCAAGAGGCCCTCTTCCATCATCGAGTATCGGCCAAGCAGCAAGCCGAAATGGCAGTCCGCAGGTCTGCGGGGCAGACGCTGCGCTCGCAAGGTTGACATATTCATCCTGCGCACTGTGGCACGTATTGGGCTACCTACAGTAGATCTACAGTAGATCTACAGTAGATCTACAGTAGATCTACAGTAAATCTACAGTAAATCTACAGTAAATCTACAGTAGATCGTACCCAGCAGCTGGCAAGTCTCTGCCAAATGCTCCTTGCCACATTCATTAGCCATAAATGGGGATGTGGCGTACAAATCCCCCTTGTCGAGGTGTCTTGTTTCAATCCCTTGTCGCACGGCCTTCTTGGACCTTGGACCTTGCAAAGAGCTTTGCTACATACTTGTGGTGGCCTTGTCGCCAGGGGGGAAATTGAAAGCGAACCTTGAGGCTTCTTAGGAGATGTTGATGTTGCAAGCCACTAGTTTTGAATCTGGCGCAGCACTTCCCTGCAGCTCCACATTCCTTGGCGAAGGCAGCCTCGCCGGGGATGCTCGCTGAAGGGGGCCTTGAAGGCAGAAACAAACATTTTGTGAGGAGCGCAGATATGCATCGATATACTGTCTCTGCTACTCTGTGTGTTCTTTGCAATCGGGATTAGAACGATATCGTTCCAGTCATCTGGGGCAGTTGCGGCGTACGGGCCTCCGGGACCTGGCCAGGACTTAGGGGCAGAAAGTGTGTGGGGCACAGGGGTCCAGGGGTTTTGTTGAAGCTCTGAGTGGACCTTGTGAAATTGCAGCTGGAGCTTCTCAGTTTCACTGCCTCCGCAGCATTTTCTGGTATGAAAGTGTGCGAATCTGGCCTACGGAGCAAGTGTGCGGTGCCAGCAAGTGCTGCCCACTCAGGCCCTCACTGTGATCCATGATCTTGCACTCTCTGAGGGCAGCCTTTCGCAGTTTTGCAAATAGTGCAGGAGTGGCTACAGCTGACCACAAAAGCAATAGGCTGCCTCTGGATCGTGGTTCTTTGAAAATACCTGACAGAGAGTCTATGTAGTGAGTCTATGCAGGGGACATAATTGAACATTGGGCGGCAATTGGGCGCACCTTCAGAAGGCATTCGATTCGGTGCGAGGCATCAAGGTCGAGTCTCCTTAGCGGAGGCCAGCGCGCAGCCGCATGCAGCCGCAAACCGTTCTAAATGGATGTCGGGTGCTCAGTTCCGGTCTTTGATTCGATGATTGTGCGGGCTGTTTTGGAGGCATCGTCGTACGATGTTTTGGCCTTCCGAAGCTTGTGTAACGCAGGTGCAGAGCTCAAGCGGAAGGCGTAACCCGAAACATCTCGAAACCTTCACACCCCCTCCCGGCCGCGCGGTAGCACACCAGGTATTTGTACCAGGCCTTGTTGACCTGTCGGTTTGTGCGCGCGATATGATGAGACCCCATGGCACATGATCCGGTGCAACCCGGCAGAGCCTGAACGGCTTGGTCACAGAAGCCGTGTTCGAATGTGCTCTGAGCACCATTGCACTCCAACTTCTTGGTCTCCAGCCCAGTCTGATCACAAGCATCATGAATCGGTGGCATGTCTAGATGTGCATGCAAAAAGGTCTGAACAAAAAGAACACAACAAAAAGAACACTTCAACAAACGCTGGTATTGGCCCTCTTGCTCGGACGGCGTTCTAAGATGGCAAGAAATCGAGCTACCGAGGCACACGGCGGAACACTTGCAGGATTGGTCAGTCAAGTCATGACTGCACTTCGGCACACAAACACGCTTTGAGCAACTGCCTTCTCCTTGGAGCAGTCCTGCAACAGCTGAGGAACTCTTTGAAATATGCTCTGAGGTCTGAAAGTGGCGGCGGTCCTTTGCAGGAGCTATGGCCTGTGTTGAACAACGCACCTGCATTTGCGGCCGGTTGCTGGATGCGCATCGGCGTTTCTGAGTCCAAGCCACCCAGCACATACGCACGGTTAGCCGCTTGCAATGAGCTACATGTTTGGGACATTGTGGAGGCATGCAAGCAAAATGGCCTTCGTGGCTTCGTACTTGGAAAGCTGCTCATCCCAATGCGCCCTAGAATTGCTTGCAGGATCTCACAGGACCAAGTTCAGTGGCAGCGCTGGCCGATCTTGCATGCTCTTACCCAACGACAAGGCCCCGGCTTCATCCTGTGAAGGTAAGACTCGTAGCTTTCCTACAAGAAACCACTCGTTTACTCCACTGAAGCTTGGCCCAAGCTCGACTTGCAATGCTCGCATGGTGCTCGGCCCCGCTCCCCGGCCACTGTCTTCAAGCACACCGACCCAGCATCCACAACGGGTGTGGCCTGCAACATGGCAGAGGTTCGGAAAGCATCCTGCATTATTTCTGGCGGTGGCAGCGCCTGCACCTCAGGCCAGGCTGCGCACTCATTCGCCTTGCTTGGCTGCTTCACAAAGGACACACGATGCCACACAGAACTACTTGTATGCATAAGAACATATAAGAACTGTACTGTTTCTCTTCGAGAGCGGGCCGCTGCGGGGCTTGCGTTTTCAAAGTTTGTTTTCCGACAATTCTCATCCGTCGCATTCATTTATATGGATCTGCTGTGACCATTGTGGGGGTGTGCCCCGATTTCTTGTGGACCCCCTCTGCAATGGTGCGATGGACCCTATGAACCCCCTAGATCCGCCTACGCACCTCTTGAAAACATCTGGATTTTGGAGGGGTATGACTCATGACCATTTCGTTGTATCTCCTCAATCATGTCCTGGACCTTTGATGGGGACCCCGTCCCCCCTCTGCACTTCGGTGAGCCCGTGGACCCCCTAAGACTATACTTTTGCACCCACCCCTTGATCTGGATTGTGCGTGCACAAAGGTGAGCCCACCAATAGCAGGTGAAGTTGGCTGCTCGCCTGGTCAGGCAACCGAGCGGCTCGGGCATGCATACTGCTCAGGGGTCATCACAAAGGAAACCACCCTTGGCAAGAAAACAGTCGCGAGAAGATGCGTGCCGCATTTTTTGCCAATCAAGACATCTGGATGTAACCGCAGGGGCCGACAAAAGGAAAACAACTTCCCGCCTCCCC